AGAAATCTTATCTAAGTGGTGTAATATACATGCAAGAAATTAAAACTGTTATCGGTTTGAGAAAGTTTTAAAAATGCTTTGCTTTCTTGCTTGCATTCATGGACTTGAAAATGTAAAAAGGTCCGGCTATAAAGAAAAAAAAAATGACAACTTTGCTCAAGAATTTTTAATTTCCTTAATTAGTCAGAAAATTTCACAAACATTTTGTATGGCTACATTAAGCTTTCGGGAGAACCAACTCCTTGAAAAGTGTATTCTCCTACTGTGCTTCCCATTCTTTCTTGTAAGTAAACAGTATAATATGAGAGTTGAGGGCCGTACACAACTGTCGAAAGTCAATTAAGTTTTGACAAGGTTTGGGCGGATCCCGGCATCATCAGATCACAAAAATCTAAAACAACAGTAAAACTAAAAAAAAATAGCATACGTAGCCGAGTAACGGCTGGGGCATATAAAAGTGAATTGCGAAATAATAACTAGGTGTAAGGTCAGAACAAAATGTCTTTCAATCCAAAATGCCAATTCTACTAGTTTTACTGTTATTTGAGATTTTCATGACTTGGTGATGCCGGCGTCCGACGAAAAGCTTGTTAAAACTTATTTGACTTTCGACAGTAGTGAATGGCCCTCAACTCTCATTTTAACTCATAATGCTACTGAAGGACAATTTCCTAATTTTTGGGCAGTATAAGTTCGGTTTTTTCGGTGAAATATTGGACTTGTTTAGAAAACAATTCGTGCTAAAAACGCGAAAGTATATCATAGCACTGCTGCGTACTTTCTGACGATTATCACACGACATATTTTTCCGCCCTATCTTCGGTGAAATTTCGCCTACCCGTCGAATCTTCGTTTTCCGAAAAAGTGTCCCACCTACCTGGGGCGCACATCGATCCATCACGTGACTGGTGTTTCATACCTTGTCACAGACTAATGTGTAGACCCGCGAGGCAAGGGATCGTGACGTAGTACCACAGGTAATCCGCATATGCCAAGAGCGCGCGCCGATAACAGGTATACAGACTGTCAGGTATACATAATAAAAGCGTGCGCAATCGTTCTTTTCTGTCTCTAAAGGAATAGTTGGGCGGCCTATGGTTTCGCAGTATCTGATACTGGGTTGACGTCACAAGTCACGTGATACTGTAGAATTGCTTGTCCAACACAGGGAGCTCGAAGTACCTTTTCTAGCAAGTTTACAAATTTGTAAAATGTCGGGATTTCAATAAAATCGTGTCATTTTTTCGCCAAAGTTCTAAGAGACCTCCCTAATTTTAGAAAGAAATGTCTTTTTTCTGGGGTTAGGTGCACTTTAAATTTATAACATCTCATTCACAGGTTCTCTGATCACTCATAAACACTCTTTAATAACTAAGTGTTAAGCGCCATTTTTTCCTTGACAAATTTCTTGACAAGGAAAAATTGCCCGTGTAAATGGTCAACAAGTTTTCCTCGACAATTCTTCCTTGACAATGTTTCTTTGCTAGTGTAAACGAAGAACAAGTTTTCCTTGACAAGGAAAAAATTGCCCGTGTGTATGGTCAACAAGTTTTCCTTGATAATTTTATCGTGCCACATTTCCCTTGTTGTCCATTTACACGAGCAAATTTCGTCCTTGACAATTTTTCCTTGTCAAGGAAAAGCGAAAATGTTGGCTTAAAAGACAATATTAATAATGTTTTGCGTCCATGATTGACATACCCACATAGCTAGGATTTCTCAAATTTGAACAAATGGGCAATTTTATAGGAGTAGCCCGTTAATAAGATTTGAAATGATATAGCGTACCTTGTTTGAATAAATGTTGAAGCACGTTTAACTTTTCTTAGTAAGCGCAAAGGAAGATGATGGCGTCTCCCACGTTCCATATTTCCATTGTTTTTCTGGTACTGCTGGTAAGCATCAATGTTCAAGCCATTTGTGACAACACTGGAGGTTGGGCTAAACCTGTCTACGAGGTTATGGAATCGCACCTTTCTTTGCTCAACAAAGCACATGACTTAACGGAAGAGCCACTGAAAAATGAGAAAATTGAGGATTTTGTCCAGGGATTGATGGATTTTCAAGGCAAAGCTAAACAATTCATGGCCGCTCCGCTGTCCAATCCAGAGGTGCTCAATGATTGTTTCTCTATGATTGTCAATCTACCATACAAAAGATGGGGCGCCCTCTTCGAACTTATCAATAGCAACATGCTTCCTAAAAATCATGAACAGAGGGGTTCTGAGATTGATAGCCGATTAAGACAAAAAGCAAAGGAATATTCAGAACCAGGAGACAACGCTAAAGCTTACACTTTACCCATGGAAGAGATGTGCCAAGGAATACCGGCTAGTATACTTAAAAAAGAAATATCGATAACAGATTTGTGTCCAAATATCGACTCTTGCGCAACAGAGGAAAAACCATATGGGGTAGCAGAGGGATTAGGGCAACATTTTACAGACGCCTGCACTGTTGATAAAAAATGCGATTTGTCCAAAGCTGTACCAATGATGGCAGGAGTATTCTGGTATGAAATAAATGAATGGATTGTAGAGAGAATGTGTCCTGGAACTTGCGCTGGCGGAGACTGCAAATTCGAAGAGACATACAACAAGGTCATTCATGAAGCTAGTCTTCTCATGGCGTTTGCCAGCATCACTTCAAGTTATTTCACATCAACATGGAAGACATTTTTTGAAGATGCAGTTGTCAACAACGCATATCTCAATTTGGACCAGTCTTTAGCCTTGGTACAAGAAAAGGAGAAAGTATTGGTTCATATGCCAACAGCTTGCAATGATCTCCTTTTTAAAGAAGCATGTCCATACAGCGATATTCATAAAGAATTTGTTATGATAAAAAAGATCCAGAAATACACTCAAGATAAAACAAGCCTTTCCTTTGTTCGCGATCTGCGAAACCTGCCAAACATTGACTTTAAAACAAGACTGGAGCAAGAAAAAAAAACTTTGCAACACATCGAACTTTTAGGTTCAATAAAAGCTCTTGATGAGAATTTGGAAGCGTCTGTTTCTGGAATATCCCAGTATTTTCAAGGTCTTGCGACCTATGATGAAGGAATTGCCGATGCTGACATGCAATTTATCCAAGGAGAGCTTGACAAATATGAAGCTAGCCTTACTCAGCTCGAAACTCAAATAAAGGACGAAGTCAGTACTATTATGAAAAAGATGGTTGTCGTGGTAGCAGCCAATGTTGGTGAAGCAGCGGCCCTTCTCGCGGCTAAAATTGCTGAAAATACTAATCCCCTTAAAATAATTTTCAGTGGACCTGATTTGGCCGACACAATCGAAGCAACAGGCAAAGTTGCAAATGCTGCGTCTGAACTTGCTAGAGGCTCAGCACTCCTAGTCGCTTTGACCGGACTTGCAGACGATTCATTGAAAATTGCCGAGGCCTTCCTGGGAAATAAAGGTCAAATAACAGGGCTAAAAGAAATCGTCGATAAAATCCGACAAAACAAGGCAGATGACATAGGCAAGGATGCCGATACATTTCTGGCGGCTTATTCTGACTACACTCCTCAGACAGATCGATCCAAACTGGAGAAAAATAATGCCTTGTGGTCGGCATTTAAAGATGCCACGTGTGATCTCTTGAGTGGAGAAGTAGGAATCGGTGGAGCTGTTGCCAAAGGAATTGCCGGAGGACAATTGCTTTGCGAGAGGCTTGAAGGAACTTTGGCTCAGTTTTTTACAATTCGCGGAGACATATTTGATTTCCAGTTCGAGTTGGTAGATTCTGTTGCTGCTATCGTTCGCGGTAACATTGCAAAGAGGTTTTCCGAGAATATCAAAGGCAAAGGAGATGTCTTGCACGCAAGTCAACTATTGATCGGATCTTTTAAAATGCACAATAGATTCCAGACTACCGCGTCCATGTATTGTGATGTACTGACTTACCAGAGTTTTGGCGAGGAGCTCCATGAATGTTCAACAATCAATGGCCTTTACAGCAAAGAAAATCTAAACGCTTTGATTGTACACTCATTTACAGCTGATGTTATCCAGAGAGAAGAAGATGTATATATCCCCACACGTGCAAGCTTTTGTGGAGACACGGGATACATAGACTTGACTGCATTGTCAAGAGGGGAAACTGTGGTTTTCAAACTTCCAGCAAACCGAGACTGGCTCTTAAGTAACGGATGGATGTTTCACGACAGCAATAAGATTCCTTTTTTGAAAGATCTAAAAATCTTTTTACCTCAAAAGGAATACAAGACAGGGGCTGATAAAACGGAGACTACTACAACTGTCACAGCAACGTCCGTAGCATCCACGTACATATCACTTGAGCCTTCTAAAAAGAATATCGCCTTTGTTCTTCCACGTCGTCATGGAAGGTTCCAAACTGTCTACGAAGAAGGTTATGACACCTGCAGTGGCACGTTGAGTAAAGAGATCGACAACCCTTACAGCCTTTGCCAAAACCTGCCAAAGATATGTGTTAAATCCTCCTCAATAGCAGGATCTCTAAGCCTCTACCCAACAGCACTATCAACATTTAGTCTAAGCTACACCATCACACAGAAGTTCAATGTAAATGTGTTGAAGTGGAGTGCTCCAGCACCGGCAACCCAGCTCTTGATAAAGGCCAAGGCAACGTTCCTTGTACCGAGGGCAAGCAGAAAACGAAGTCTTCTTCCGCAGCTGATGACAAGATCTGAAGTAGTTCCCACACAGAACGGATGCTGCGAAGGAAATACTGTGAGAGTGAATCTTGTTCAAAAAAGATGCAAGGCCTGCCCTAGTAAATCAACCTCCAATCTGCGGGGCTACTACTGCGAAATCGATGAAGAAGAGGAAGAAGAGGAAGAAGAGGAAGAAGAGGGAGCAGAAGAAGCTTGAACAAAAAACCACAACAAAAGAACAAAAAACAACCGTCGGTTGTTTGGGGGCGGAGAGAAGCGTAGGACCCAGGCCCCGTCTGAAAATCAGGCTAACTAGTAGTATGATTTATAAAGTATTCAATGAAGATAATAAAGATTATGAATACAAGTTTGCTAGTGTGTTTACTTTCAAGTATGAGCACAAGATCTCTTACAGGCCAAATTTGAACCAAATAAATCAGTATATCAGTAAACAATTTACAGCTTGGGATTGGACAAAAGTAAATAAAGTAATCTTAATGGATCATCTCGATTATTTCTCTTTAGACTAGAAAACAAAGAAAAATCACAATTTACCTTAACATTGCAAAAGTGTTTTTTTTTTTGCTCTCTTTTAGCACTAATTTCCAATAAAAATCAAGATAAACCAGTTTTTTTTCAGATCTTGGATGTAAATTTCATTGACAAAAATGATGAAATCAATACTATTAAAAGTCATTTGTAGCAAAAAACTACACAGCAACAATATCTTCACAACCGACTATTTCTATCATTTGATGTTCTACAAGTTTGATGCCATATCCTTGGCATTTATATCTTGAACAAGTAGTTTGATTGTTCTGGTAATTGTTTGGATATCCTTTGGTCCTGATAGTCTATGAGTACCATTCTTAATTAAAGTAACTTGAACGTCATTACTTTGTAAATTATTAGCAAGATCAATAGATATATCATAAGGAACCTCTTTATCATTCATTCCATGGATCAATCGCACAGGGCAGTTCACTGCAATATTCTTATTAAGTTCATGTTGTTTTGCTTCTTGTATCATGTCCCATGAAAGAATATAAGGTTTTTCATTATAAGGAGTTGGCATTTCCCATCTTCCAGTACTTTTGATAATTGTTTTTGTCTCATCTGGAAGGCTGTCAAATCGTCTCTTGACAAAATTAAGTGCGGTTGCTATGCCAATAAGACCTGGGATCTTATGTGGCATCTCCATGGCAACAAGAAGCATTATCCATCCTCCAAGGCTAGAACCAACAAGGATTTGAGGTCCTTTGAATTAAAAAAAGAAAAGAAAAGATAAAAAAAGAAAAAAAGGTATAACATTACTGCATAAAATAATTAACTTACTGAGAGTCTTTGTCACAGCATTTATACTACAACCTTCAATTAGAACTTTATTTATTTTTCTTTTTTTTTTTATTTAATAAAAATGCATATCATCCATCAAAATAATGCTGCCAAGTATTTCAAAAATGATCTTTATTTTTATGACCTTTAAGGATATTTACAACAAGACTGAAAGAAGAACATGATAGTATTACCATTGCAATTATAATAGTACCTTTTATTGCATCTAAGATATTCAAAACATCTTCTTTTCTTGATCCTATCGTAAACTCGTGAGCTTTACCACTGGATAATCCCATCCCACGATGATTGAATCTTGTGTAAGCTCTACCAGTGGATAGACAATATTTCTCTAACGCCATGGCTTTCGTTCCACTCATACTGGACATCAATCCTGGTAAAAACACGATTCCAGGTAATTCACCAGGAAAATGATGATATTCTAAGTATTCCCCATTAGGAAGATTTAGTTTTTGCGCCATTTTGATGTTGCTATTGCAAGTGAATCGAACTGAATATCCGTACCTTCGAGCGAAGGCAGTCGCCATGTTTTTGAGCCCACAACCGATGTCAACAGCGGATTTCAACACAGGAAGCCCAAACCAATTTCTCTTCGAAAAAGAAAAAGATGTAAAATCTGAAGACGTTTTTAAAAGATCTTTCATTGAAAAATCCAGATAATCAAGAATGCTAGAATTATAAATTTACGTATAGCTTTTTAGATTAAACAAATCCCTATTTAGCTTGAAAATTCTTAATTTGAAATCAGAAAATATGAGTTTCAATTTTTCCTGATTTTTTCAGCATATTCAAGCGAACCGTTTTTCGATATATATAGTAGATTTTTTCCATTTTGTTCTTTGATGTTTGAATATTCTTTTAGTATTAGTAGTTCTTTGGGATTGCCATAAATATTTAACAAGCTTCGCCTAGCAACATGTTTCATACAGATGTAAATTTACTGTCACCGCTGATCCTCGCATAAAACAAATAAGTTTTCACAAGTTCCCAATACATCTATTTGGTGAGTTTGTCTTTCCTTATTTAAGCTTAAAAAACTCAATACATAATTGTTTTAAAGCATACTAGATCTATTTCTTTACATACAGAAAAGTGATTCATTCTATAGCAAACTTTTTTTATTCATCAGCGAAAAGATCTCAATCAATCATGAAGGACATTGTTCTCGGAGAAGACTGGCTTATAACTCTTTCAGTTCTTTACGGCGTTGCTGCCGTAGCTTCGCTCTGGGCAACTTTATTTTCGCCAACAATCCTTGACTGGTGGGATACTCCTGGAGGACAGAAAAAGAAAGACCAGCGCGACTGGGCAACGATCTTTCTTGTATTACTCATTGTTCAACCACTGACGTTCGGTGGATGTGCGATTGGGATGTGGTGGCTTAGCCCCCTAGTTTACGTTCCACCGATTCATCTTGTCCTTACGTTTGTCTCGTTCTTGGCAATCGACTTTTTTCGCGTGGATAATGATCAGTTCAGCAAGTATAAGTATAATGTTTTGATGTGAGATCGAAGGACTACAAATTCACTTACACCTGCTGCCTATTATAATTTGCATTGCAAATGAAGAATTGACGTCTGTAAATATACACAGTTACCCGTACGTTAGGACATATCAGTTTTAAAATTGTCATACATTGCACGCACGTACATAAATTTGGTTATTTCGTATCTATTGACGGAAAGTAAATTTTATGTCCAATTTTGTGTTATCATAGATTAAAGTTTTATACATTTCTGTTATTGTGAGGCATGAATAAATCTCGACCAAGCTGTAAAACAGTCGGTGTTATTACTAATATTCCTACTTTATAACGAGAACAAAGTGTGTATATCAAACTTTTCGACGTAGAAAGTCTTTGCAATAGTGTATGAACTCTAGTGATACTTGAGTAAAGATATCATTACAGGTTGAAGTTATGCATCGTTTACTTACTTCCTGTTGTTGTCTATGCTCTCATTTCTTTTTTTATGTTTCTTTTCTCTTTTCTTCAGTTTCATTTTTTTAATTGTGATTTCTGTTTTTATGTCCAATTTTGTGTTATCATAGATTAAAGTTTTATACATTTAATCCTATCCAGCATTATGAAATTGTTTAGATGTTCGAATTTTACAAATATCAAACCGTTTTAATGTGTTTTTCGTTTTCTTTTGGTCAGGCTATTTGAAGAAGAACCATTCAACAAGGGGGACATATCTTTGCTATTAGTTCGCCTTAGTATTTTGTTATTTGTCTTAGTGATTCTCCAGTTTCTCGGCCTACGGCCTCGTCCACCCGAACAGCAAGGAGTTCTTTTAAGTATAAAACTAGCGTGACAAGTCTGAAAAGTATTCTAGAAGTGGCTTTCTATTCCGTATCTTAAGACAAATTCTTGTGGCCAAGTTTTGCAGGCATGTTAAACGTTTCGTGTTTTTCGCGAAAAATACATTGACAGCCCAACTTGGGTAGGCAATAATTATACAAAAAATATTCAACATTGTGTTCTTATTTTTTTATTTATCTATAATATTTTTATATCATTTGTTTAATCAGTATCTCACAAGCCATGGTTATTAACCACTGCGTGATTGAGACTAAAGATATGTTCACAGGCGGTGTTGTCCCTGTATTTACAGAGCACATTTCTATCTAGAAAGCAGCGATAGCTTTTTCTCTGACACATTCATTATCTTCGCACATTAATTTGGTTCCATCTGCGCATCTACAATCGGCATCCTCTGTACAATTAGTCTTGAACACGCCAAAGCACTGAAAAAAGGACATGACAAATAAGTGAAAAATGCTAAGAAAAAGCGATTATATAATTGGCATGATTTTAAGCGAACTTAAAGGGCTATTTGGACGAAAATTGCGAAACATTAGAAAAGCCTTGGATATCAAATAGAACTATCCATATGAGTCTAATAATCATGAAGCAATAGATTTCAAGAAGATATTGATACAAATCCTTAATGATTTGAGCAAAAAATGTTGGAGTAGATGACGTCATTTACTCCATCCTTTTGTTCTTCCATCTTTTGAATGAAAATTTCTCTGATGTGGGATAATTCCCAAACAAATATTTTCCCGCAATTGTTTTTAATAGATATAAATGAGTCATATATTTGTATTGCTTGATGTTTCTATAAAGAAAATTTGTGAATATCATTCTCATGGAACAGTGAACTGAGAAATTGTATTGGGAAGAATAAACAGAAGAGTGCTCGCACTAAATGCGTAAAATATAAATACTACAAAATAGGTGATAAATTATACAAATTGTATAATTATATATTTATATAATTATACTATTGTATAATTAACACTATTTAGTAGTAACTAGTACTATTTGTTTCACGCTTTAAGTAGAAGCACTCTAGTCAAAGTGGAACCCAAGTGTTTGTTTACACCGCCCCAATTGGAGAACTTAAAAATGGCTTAAAAACTGCTTGGAAATGATCAGTTTAGCCCAAACTTGACCTATAGAGGCCGGGAAATGCAATGAAGACTTCAACATTGTTGAAACGTTCATTCCCCGGTATTCCCCCATGGGGCGCCTTGGGGGGTATGGTTGCCATTGACTGATGCATAATATTAGATAATGATATAAAATGTCATTACGAATATATGCATGTTAAGTGGGGGGGAGCCGCCGATGTCCCTTGTCCTTAAAATAATGACTTACCGGCTGACGTTCCATAAAATCTTTAATCGTCATCGGAACACATGTTTTTCTCTTACAAATAAGCCATTTCCCGTCGCATCTACAATCGCTGTTCTTTGCACATTCAAAATCACTTCCTTGAATTTGGTTGCACTAAGAAGGCAATAATCAAATCTATATGAACAGTTATATAATAGAGTTTATATAATGTATGGAATACAGCCTTTTGCAAAAATTATGAGAATTGTTGAAATATCTAAATATCATAATATCGAGTGCATGATGGGTAATCCCGCGCGATGCCCTTAATCGCTTGTCTTTGTAGTTTAGTTTTTTTTTTGGCGACAGACTTATCCGTAGTTCTGAACATTTTCTCGATGTCAACAATGAATTATTCTAGCAAACCCACGTGTTCCGGACAATATGTGGATATGGATATTATGATATTTAGATATTTAGACAATTCTCATAATTTTTGCAAAAGGCTGTATAACGTACGTGTTCTTGAATTTGCTGAGAACCGTGCGTAAAAACTACACACGCACAGATGACGTCATTCAATCAGAATAGCCGATTTGCGAATTTCATCTCAGTAGTCAAACACAAAAGAATCAAGACGAGGCGCACGTGCTTAAAGCTCAGTCAATCGTGAAAAACTATTGTCTTTTCATGAATGACTGAGCTTTATGCACGGCGCCTCGTCTTGATTCCTTTGTGTGTGACTACTGAGGCGAAATTCGCAGGTCGGCTGTTGGACTCTGGTAAGTCAGAACCAATCAGGCGAAACGACTGCCTGAATCCTCGAAAAAAATTGGATCTCATTCTGACGTCATCAGTGTATCTATATTAGAGGGGGGACTGGGATGCGATTTGAAATTTTCAAAAAACTATAGAACCTGGGTTAGAAGAGCATAGGAGAAAAAATAGGCAAAAATTGTGGATCCTTTACTCAAGCAAAACACGTGATCATCACTTCTCGTAATGAGTCGCCGCTTAAACTTTAGTAGGAATGCTGTGGTCATTGAACTTGACATATCAGGCGATTCACGTTTACACGTGACTTTAAGAAAACGTGATTGCATACGAGCTCCTTACAGCTCTCTAATTAATTTTGCCATTTTGCGAACGCTTGAGTTGAAAAAATGGCAATGGACACAGATATTTATGACGATTATAATAATGTTAACAAACGGCGCTGTCAATGTGGTTTGAGAGCAAAATCGATTCACATAATAACTTCGATTGAATTTTCAACCATTTATTGACCAGACAATTAATTGAGAGTTTTAAACTTTGTTTTATTTACCGAGATCTTGTTTCCAAAAGCCAATCCAAGAAATAAAGTCATGGCAATAATGACTACCATAAGAACTGCTTTGGCGTCCATAGCGACCGTCTTCACCTGAAAATCAATTAAATTAGCATTAAATACCGCAATAGTTATGCTTTAACAGTGGTCACAGAAAATGTCGTACCGTTCATCACCACACACTTTGTATCGTTAAGGTTTGCTAGCATAAAAGTGAAATCAATAGACAAAGCTAACCTATGTGTGAAGATCTGATCGGAGTATATAGTTGAGATGTTAGTCTAAGTTCAGATCAATCCTCAGTAGCGTCAATYTAGCGTTTTCAATGAAATAACTGACATGAATTTAGCATTTGAATGCCCGATAAGCAACTGATTTTCACGATGCAACAACTAAAACCTTGTTATTCAAAACACTGCCCAAGCAATAAGTCAACCTCTTGTAGGTCAAAGATACTAAAAAGACTTTGAAGCAATGTGAAACAGTAACCGCTCATCAGATCTGTGTTAATTATTTCTGATGTTCAGCGGTCGACGAATGGTGTGTTTTGACCTCGTTTTCGTTTTAGCAGCATGCTTTTAAAAGATGGGTACAAATTCTTGGGCGTGTCCCCGCTAGGCTAATACCGCTTTTAACCCGCTGCTCTAGACAACAAGTCTTTGCCACAGAACACTACATTGGATTGGAGCCATCCTCGGAGATAAGCTCAGAAGTTATTTAAAAATCATACAACATCTTCTCGAGAGTTCTTTCCATTCATGTCTGAAAGCCTGTCGTACCAAGCATATTTACATTCATGCACTCTAAAATTATAAGTGTTATGCTGAATGTGGGAAGAGTGATCTCTTCCGATAATTTGATAGGATACGACTTGGTTTGGGTTTATTTTGTGTTCGAAGTATTTCTGCGGTTTACTCCGGTAATTGAAATGAGTATCAAACTCAACATGATATATAAGCTACTTATTCAAACCATTTTGTGACCTTGGCTGAGTCATCTAACCTACTGGCAAAACATAAAGTCGCGGCGTTCACGGCGATTGTACTTACTGTAACAATTAAAGTAAATACTTTGAATGAAGAAAAACAAAATCCATATCACATATACATGTATAAATCATTAGGGAAATAATCAACGATGCACCAAGAAAGTTAAAGAGAAAGATATTTATCCGCAACGCTTATAAGTCGACATTTCAAGAAAACAAAATTATAGGTTATTTGGAATTTCAAGTCGTGGATCTAAAAATAGAACTTCCGAAACATGAAAACAAAATGTCCGACGCAAAAACAGGAAACAAAGACCTCAGTATCCGGACCAAAAATAGCATCTTGAACTTGAGCAGCTATAAATAACACAATTTATGATGATATGGCAAAATGTAAAACTAAAAAGAAAAAAAACACTCGGCGACAAGTTGACCTCCTCTATAAAACAATTCTATACTCTTTATAAGAAGTCGTTGGCATACAGCAATGTCAATTGGTTGTGGTGGGGGGTGCTGTCGACTCCCTACTTGTACACCGTAGAGACAAGGTCATATAGGGAGAACGTATTCTCAATAGGCATTGCTATTCTATATAATATTCTACATATAATATCATAGTTATTCTCCATATCATTGTTATTCTATAGTATATTATTCCATATAACATCATTGCTATCATCCATATCATTGTTATTATATGTTACTCTATACATAATAATAAGCTCTGACCCTATAACTTAGTAAGACTTACAACGAACATTACAGACAACGACGAAATCTTTGGCTTGATTCCTGGATCAAAATGTACTGTTTTTTAGACTTTGTCTGAGTAATTTCGTTCAATTATTTGAGTAATTCTCCCCATACGATTATCTTGAGATCATTTTCAAAAAGATCACTAAAAATTGTTTTAAATCTTCTTGCATAGATAGTGATAGAGGCATTTGGTTCAAAGAAACCAATTTAGGGGGAGTACATTGCAAATACGCCATACTTGCCTCGCAATTTGGGTAAACATTGATCAAAGTTAAGTCTATTAAAACTGACCTTCTGCGTTTTTTCCCATCCAGCTTATTTGAATAAAAGTTAAGTCAATTGACTCATAAAAGAATTAGGTGTCAAAATATCCCAATCGTAAACACTCGTAAAAAATATTCCGAGCATGTAGAAGATGTTGTAGGACGAAGATAGACTGGAGAGTTTTTTAAGTCTTGGTGGGGGAGGTAGATATTTCTTGCCCACACGCAAAGTAAACAGCTTTGTAAAAGACCAGAATTAGTTATAAGGCAATGAAGAACATATGTTAACAATCATCAAAACTTTCAAGAACACCGTTCGTTGCGGTTTGAAGTCTAAGGAGACTGTTACTAATACCTTTGCATTCATTATGGTATATCTACTTTTGAAAGGTTTGAGATTTTGCACATCTTTTTGATATAATTGATATAATTAGGTGTTTTTCCCATAGCGTTTGTACGCTACATTCATATTGATAATATATCGTTGTTCTGCTATACTATATTGATGATAAGTAATATACTATTTTTTCTTCGGAAAACAGCAGAAAAGAACTCCTCTAAACCAAAACACAGGACATATGACAACGCAGCCTTAATTCATGTCGTAGTAGTCGCAAAAAAACCCGGGACAATCCATTCGAAATTTTTTGAGGAATATGTCCACTAGTATTATTAAGAACGACAATAAAACATCAGTACATCTGACTTACCTGCTTTCCTTCAAATGTTCTGGAGCTACTACTGTTCAATATTGAATACAACTGTCTTGTCGCCTAGTTTTGTTGCCAACTTATTTAAAATTGAGGTAGTCTTATGATTTGCTTACTAGTAGGATAGTGTTGATAGATCTGTAGAGTCGACGCATTAATCCGTCAATCATGCTAATCCTTTTGTTTTCTATTGTTTAATGAAGACTATATAGTAATAATTGGTAACATTTCTTCAACGTTAACTCTAGCAGGATATCTAACTTGGCAGCAATAAGATGAAACAAAACCATGGCCATTTGGAAATACACTCTAGCGGCGGCTGAATTTCCCGCCTCTATAAAATGGCTATACCTAATAAGACATTGTAATGATACAGTAATGATATACAAACAAGAAATACCTATTCGCGGTTAAAACCAAAGCGAGGAAAAAATCGGGCAATATGTTTTCTGCAGCCCTCAATCAAATGAACGAGTGTCAAGTTCGAAACCCATGAAATTTGTCTATTTTGGCCAAGTCTGATTACACTTGACTCGAAGCATTGATTATTCGGATATCACAAGAATGCTCTTTTAAATTAGGCATACCAAAGTGAAATATTAAAGTGCAAAGCGTAACAAGGTTTATTCTCTTAGCGCGTTTGGTCAGCAATGCACTGCGGGCGCAGCCTAAAGAATAGCCGACTTGCGAATTACGCATCAATAGTCACATACAAAGGAATCAAGACGAGGCGCCGTGCTTTTTTGTGAAAAATCTATTGTCTTTAGCACGGCGCCTCGTCTTGATTCCTTTGTATGTGACTATTGATGCGTAATTCGCAAGTCGGCTATTATCGAAAAGGGTCTTGACCAATTGCCTTTTTCGGCAGTCTGTAGGAAGCCTGATTGTAGAAATTTAATGTAGCCTGTTTACCAATCAGATTTTAGATATTTAATACAACGTATAGTCGATGATTCCTTCTTTTCTTGTTTGCGGCTTTTATTTTACTATGTATCTCGGCAATTAAATTTGTTCCGTGGGTAGTGAACATCATCCGTTTAAAAAAAAACACCGAAATAGTCATTCTAACAGGTTTAGGTATAAAATCCTCTTTATACTCTTATCAGGCGGTGGCGTGATCGAGTATTCGATCCCGTTTTAGGTTGCCACGTGTTTGATTAATTGATCAATTAAAGCATTAAATTGTCAGTGATTGTACCATAGTTTATATAGATAACTTTTTAGAACAGATTCGGGGCTTATCTTCATTGATATAAAAACTTTAAAACAGATTGAAGACAATCTCGTTTCTTACACATAATCCACGTGCTAGAGTAAGTGATAACTTTCGTATTCAACGTTCAGTCCTCACATTAAAGTTGACTGCTAAATTCAACTTTATCTTTAGTGATATTAATTCTGTTGTGCGGTATAATCTTTTTTAATATGAACGAATAACTGAAGATGATCTCAGTTTACCGGAGATTTACCGTAACACAAAGCAAACGATGATCATTATATAATAGTTTTAATGTATTATTACTTAGCTTTGATTTCTTCAACTTACAGTTGAAATGCGGCTTCTTTCAGTCAAAAAGTATGACATATATTATAAAATATATTCCTAATCTATTAATTATAGGTTAAAACGATGTAGACATTATGATAATGATAATAATTACATTCTAGTCTATTTATTCCTATTTATTTATTTAAGACAAATTACAGTTGAAATGCGGCTTCTTTCGGTCAAACATTATGACATATATAATAAAATATTTTCCTAAGCTATTAATTATAGGTTAACACGATGTAGACATTAATATAATAATGATAATAATTACAATTAATTGAAGAAAGTTCCGTGGTTAGTAAATTATAAAAATATATCAATATACATATAATATAGTTCAAATTTAAACTATATTCAAATTTAGTTTTTCATAAAACTACAGATTATGCTTGAATAACTTTTGATAAACATATAAACATAGTGTCAAAGTATACTAATCTGATTTGCGATTTGTCGCAGAGAAAAAATGAAAATGAAAATCACATGAAATTACTCGTGATGCAGCGAATATAATGAAGTACCGGTTAGCGGAACAATTTAAAAAAATAACTGTTCAATGAACAGTGGGGATAAAATAGCAGATTTTGAAATATTTGCTGTGGTTTTTAAAATAGACATTTAAAATATGACCGTAAAAATCTAGAAAAAAGTATCCTAGCGGCTGTCTTCCGGTGTTTAACGTCAGCGAATAGACTAGAAATCGAGCGATGATGCCTCTTACAGTAATGACTTGGGACAAGTGCTTCCTTTAAAAAAATTAAAACTCAATTAAGACGAGAATAGAAAATTACTAAAATTCTGAAATTCTAACAGAATAAAAGTCGGAAATAATTTAGTAGAATAGAATTTTATCAATATTTGAGTTAATTTGTTGTTTTGCTATTTATTTTATTGACTGTAGGCAACAGAAAATACGAGATTGTTTATACATCAGCTGTAAATTGTAAAACCTTGTTTATTGTTCAAAATATTCGGCTTCAGCTCTTGATACCAGCGAGAATATAATGTCTGTGAACAAACCATTGAACACCATTCACTATCTTGATAATCTTTACTATAAAAATTATATAAAAAAAGGAGTTTTAGATCAGTAAGAAAATTTTTTTTCATGTAAATTGCTCTAGTTTATTAGGACTGAACGGAAGCTATTTTTAATTGACCATGTGTAATGACTGATTCTATCGGACTATTATAAATAGATTTTCTAAAGCTGAAAGAAATTTTTAAGTAAAAATGTCGGAAAACTAACAGCTTCATGAAAAACAGCTGTTAAAAATTTGAACACTGCTTCCGCGATAAAAAAGAACATTTTCAAAGCTTTCAACCACACAATTTCATTAAAAGGATAAGCTTTGGCACTCACAAAAAATACACCAGGGTATGTCTGTTAATTTATTGCCTAAATAATTTTGACGTTGTCCGCCGACAATTTGCCATATACTGTTAGACTTCGTGAAGTTTGCTTCCCCGAACTTCAGCTTAATGCCAGAAATCGTTTAGTTTTTACTTATCTTTTGATTGCACATAATGTGTTATTTCGTTTTTCTACGGCCTACGTCCTATGCTTTAATTTGATGTAGAAAGCAAATTAAGAAAAACATAAAAGTGTTATTTCCAGACAAATATATGTATATTTTTTTATTACATATGTTTTCTTACTTCTGGTAAGCTTCAAAGTTCTCAATTCAGGGGAAAGTAGAGGCCCCTCATTCATATCAGCTAAGTAAAGGAATATATATATATATATTTAGTCTGCTTTCTCTCTCTCATTTTGCCCCGTTCGCTTTCATTCTATAGTGTGGGCTCATGTCTTTGTAAATGATGGATTTGTGTCTCAAAACGCGATCTTTGCATTATGTTAAACATTATTTAAACACAATTAAAAATTATGTTGCCAAAATGGAAAAACACCCATCAAAAGGCACAACTAGTTAGAATCAGTAAAGCTGTGCTTTGCCATATTTGTCATTGAAGTTGAAGAGAACTTAAAAATATAGAAACGGAGGGTTARTCAGAGTATCAAACTCAAGAATAACGAATACTTTCGTTTTTCTAACGTTGAACTAATTGTAAACTTTCCGTCTCATTTTGACACATATTTAGCAGTTTCCTTTCGGTGTCTCCATGTTTTCTACGGTAATTTCCCAATCCTTCTATTTACTGATGATATTTGGCTTTTTCCAATCTATTTTTTCACACCTTAAAATAGCAATTTTAAGATAAAATCAAAAGTGAACAAAATACATATTCCGAGCATTTACGTTCGATTCTATGATCAAAACTAGTTCTTTCTCAATTGTCATCGTGTATTTGTACTCATTTATTCATGGTTGTTGTAATAAAGAAATGAGATGGTAAAATTAAGTTAAAACAAAAATATTCAAAACGGTTACCTGTGATTATCGCTGCAGCTCTCAAACGCACCGATGGTAAGCAATAAAGTAGTAATGGGAGTTCCGATTTTCTTTTATATTCCTTTAGTTCCGCCATAAGACAATGGCAATCGCACTCTTCGTACTCACCTATCATCAAACGCTCTGTGATTAGCAAAAACTGGCAGCCACGGTAGCTTTTATTTAGAATCTTTTGATGTATTCCCAGAAAGCGATTGGGATTCTGCTATAATTAGCGCGTCTAGAGAAGATTACAAATACGTTGGTCTGGACGTTTGTATGGATATGTCGTGGGTCGATTCATTCAGTGAACTAATGATTCATTGGCCAATCAGAATGTGCTATAGGAAGGTAATGAAAACATGACTAATAGACCTTTTTACCAACACGACCACCATCTTGCCTTCAAAGGGATTTACCAGGACATCGAAGGGGAACCTCTTAGACAGTACAAGATAGGATTTCACGTTCCAGTCCGATCTTTTTGGTCAATTTTCAAATACTTCAAGAGCCAAATAAAAAGAAATGATTTCTAATTTTTTTTTTTTTTTTCGCAGAAAATCTGAAATATTATTTCTTCCCACGAATAATAATTATGGAATAAATAGTGTAATATTAATCTTTAGTCCTTATTTTAATTATCATAATGATACATAAATGACTAATGGAGGACTACGCCTTAGAATAATATAAGTACGAAATTGAATATGTGTTAAAGAGCTGGAGACTTTAAGCAATCTTTAAGAGGGTCATATATTATGTTTGGGTATCTAGTGAAGGTATCATTACTTTCATCGTGGTATATTSACAATAATTTAGTCCTACTAGTGCAAGGAGAAGTGTGTTATCAATTTTGCTTCGTGGATGGGAACGAAGTTAAGAACATGACGCCTGATTTATTTATTTTTTCTCACGATTACTGTTTCTTTTTTGTCTTGTATATGTACATTAGTAACACTAATTGGAGTCTAATTGTGTCAAAAAGAGGGCACTATACTATATCCGAGTTAGATTCATCTAGAAGTGACCACGTGACTTAATTAATACATGGATTAACCAGTAAGTGACACCGCCTCAAATTATCGGATTCACTACAGAAAGTGGTTAATGGTTTTAAACTTAAAAAGTTATGTTCATTACAACAAAAGCAGGCACTTTACAATCTTTTAGTAGGAATTTTTAAGAGCAATCTTTTTTTAAAAAAATCCACTTCATCATAAAGCACAAAAAATTAATTATTAGAGACATACTTGCAAATAGCCTCTTACATATCATTGAAGCTTGAAAGTTTACGGTCTAAACGGATGTTCTAAAAGCAATAACCTCGACACTTTTGACATTTGTCAGGAAGAAACTAAATCTATGCTAGTTACCGAATCTGGCAGTGGTTACACGGTGTCTTTTGCATAATGAGTGTGGACTCCAGTAACGGCGCCTTCTTTCCGAAATTGTAGATAAGAAAACTCGTTGCTATAAGTGCATTTTTCTTTGGAGAGTTTTCTCTTAAGGATAGAAAACAGATTATCAGCTTGTTTTGGGTGTGTATCTGTCCTAATGGTCGATATTATAATAAATAAGCTAATTTGCATTCGTCGGCAAAGTGGTACACTAGTCTGAGAACCAAGGAGTTTGGTGTCCAGAATCAGCGCTTGAAAGACTGGAATAGTGTTCCATTAATGATATTCTGAGTCGTCATAGTCGCTGTCCATCCCTTCTTTGCAAGATTCAAGGCGCTCTCTTATATCCGTTCTTTCAGTCCAGATATTAAGCTCGCGCGCGTGCTTCACAAACTTCACAACTGTTAAGGCTGATTTACACGGTACGATTTGTCGCGCGCGACTTGTAGTCCTTGTAGTATACGACTTGAATCGCGCAGTGTAAATGCCCCTACGACTTGTCTACAACATGCAGTTGTACGCAACCTACGACTTGTAGTAGGATTTTGAACCACTGCTTAAAATCCTACGACTTGTAGTAGGAAAATCGTTTACTACAAGTCGCGCGCGACAAATCGTACCGTGTAAATCAGCGATCTTGTACCGGAGAACAATCTTCATCAATATCAAACGCAAATTCTTTGTGCATAAAATGTAAACATCTTGCTACTTTCATTCAGGTTAGTGCCCTCCGTGATCCACAGCTGTTAAATTATAGTAAACATTTTGGTTGATGATTTCTGATTGAATGTAAATGACATTATTCAATGGAATAATCAAATGAATTGGCTTAAACGTATGCTTACGTACATCGCACGTAAGGACGTCTGTTTCGTACATTTTAATGCAAAAGCGATAAAAGTCTATCGCTCTAAAAGCAATAACATATTAATGACATTATAAAGGATCCCTGCATGCACAGCCAGTGTGAGGCAGAATGATAAAGATTGTAAAGCGGTGGGAAATGTTAGATAAATGAGTTTAGACATACTGTGAAAAACGCATGAATTCTCCATGATAACCGTCATAAGCCTGCATGCGACTTACGAAAATCAATTTTTTTTTATCAACAGGAGTTTCGTTTTCATGAAAAGGAAGGTTTAAGAGATTTTGATATCATTCTTTGTATCGGTATAAGCAGCTGTTAAGATATATCAGCAAAAGTTTATTTTAATAAATAAAAAATAAATTAAAATTGCTCCTCAAAGTGTGGAATATCAATACTAGTCAAAAAAGCCTGGAGGATATTTCGGTCTTATTACGCTCAATATTTGGATTTAGCATAAAATAACCTCTTTTATGCACAAAAAACTCGCGACGTGATTGGTTGTGACAGGAAGATACATTCCCGGGAAGTTTGAAAGAACATTTGCAAAGTTATGATTTGTTTTTCCTTGCTTTTGATCAAAAAACTGTTTGATTTTCCTGACTTTTAATGTAATTTCGACATGTCGAAAACAATATATCTATATTTCACTTCGTTTTATTCTGATAAATTCTATTTTTGCTTTTAATAAATGATCTGGAAAAAATATGGCGCATTGTACATATTAATTCTAAGAAAGCCAAATGTATAATATAGAACTTATTAACTTCGCTAGCTGTCACTGCAAGTTAAGTTACGGATTCAGAAAGGAGAAAAAAACTCGATTCGTGCATAACTGTGTGGATCTCGGTTAGCAAGGTATCATTTCTCAGTTAAACAAGATAATGAACGCTAAATAAGATATTGAATATATGAGATTGTAAGAAGCAAAAATTGGATCAGTAATGAAGGATTTGAAAGTATAAATATTTATCTGAATTATATATAAATATTCAAGTGTTTATTCATCTGGAGTCAAAAAGCAGTAAATGAAGCAGCTGAAATATTAAACAACTTTTTTTTATAAAAATATATCAAAGAAAATCTCAAAGTGTGCATTGGAACTGAAGCACTGTTTCCTTGAATTGAAATTTCAAGCCATATGTTAGCGTGGATAATGACATAAAAATTACCTTCCTTTACGAAGATCTTCAAAACGTTTACCGACTGGCAATCAGATCAACCCACACATACGCGGTAAACGATGATCGTTGAGTATCTCTTATAAAGGTTAACGAAGATTTTGGTAATTTTTGACAGTAATTTGTTTAATTAACAAAGTTTTATAGAACGCACTAGAGCGAGCCTATGACAGGCTTGCTTATCGTAAATATCCGCGAACAAAAAAAATACTCCTTTGTGTATCCAGGAAGTTATTTCAATCAAATTCGAAGAAAAACATCTTATCTTGCGTGGGAGTGAAGCCTGGTGCGATTTTTCTTTTCTTTTTGATAAAATATTTACTTGGCGAGTCATAAAGTTATCAGATCGACACCCAAATACAGAGACCATGATGGATTATTTTTGTACATCGCTATAGATAATCTGTTGATAGACTGGTGGCGTGATTTCATCATGGTGATTTTATTGGTTCTGACTGTCAATTATACCATTTRTCATCATTCATATGGAAGATTGGTCATAAGTCAAAACGGGTTTGAGGGAATTGTCAGCTAATCTGATTTTTAAAAACTTGCAATTATTTGAAAAGGTAAGCTTAGTAGATTGCATTATTAGTTTCGTGAAATTGAGCAAGAAATTCAAGAATTGAGGCATTAAAAACAAAGGGTTTTCTAAAGATTACTAACGTCTCTAAGAATCATTTAAAACTACTTATTAGGTCTATGCTGCTATGTTAAAGTATTGGATAGGGTTGAGTAATTGTCTATTCCTGTAAATGTAATACGGGCACTGATGAATAAAACATCAGTATTGTGTCAGGATATACAAGTTCAATGAAATTATCTAATAGACGACCATGATGGACCTTATAACTGATGTATTAATATTGATTATTATTTATATTGAACAAACGTTAGGCAAAAATATTAATAAATCAATAAATTTATTCGTTTTTTATTCTTATAGTCGGACAAGAAGTACCAATTGTCCTAAAAAACTCATGGAGAAAGTAATAAAAATCATGCCTCTCGAAAAAATAAAGAATGATCTCGTCAAGTTTAAACTCATTGAATACAAGATTCCACTCGACAAAAAACTAAGCATAAATTATTTGAAACATTCATGTTTTATTTCATTGCTAACATCTCATATATTCACAAAGTATTAATGAAATTAAACTGTCATAGCTTTTTACTTGCACCTTTTTAAAATATCCGAGTGCATCTTGGGTAATTTTATATGATCGCTTGGTTTTGATCAAATTCATTGAAATTATGCTTATTTAGGGTTATTTCTGCAATTTATCAGGTAACCTATAATATATGTGCGGTTAGAATTTCTTCAAATGAAAGCATTTAGAGACTTTCAAGTCGTTTGATTTTATACACCTAGTACAAAAATGTCGAAAAGAACGGTAATTGTGGCGAACGCAGATTGCATGACCGAAAGGGACTATGGATACAAAGTTTGCCATATAAAATTTCCCTTGTAGCTGATTTCACTTAACGTGAAAGATTCCATGGAAAAACAACTATCTTATTAAGTCATCAGTTATCATTTCCCATTAGCAAAGCCCATGTCTCCATTCGGTCAATAAATGCTATATATACCTATTTCAAAAAAGGTTGTCGGATAAAATGGCGAATGTCAATTGTCGAACGTCGATTGCACGACCAAAAATAGTCATGGGTTTTGCTAATTGAATGGAAATAACAACTGATTTATATTGTAAGATGGTCTGTGGTAAACATTGCCTCCCCGTTAACCTCCATTTCTATGAAAGGTGAATCCAATAAGTGAAATTTTGTTTATCAAAGCAGTGTAACCATAGTCCCTTTCGGTAGTGCAATCACCCTTCGACAATCGCCGTTCTCCCCGACAACATTTGAAATAGGTGTATGTTTTATTGCCATTTTGTCCGATAACCTTTTTTGAAGTATAAAATATGTAATGATGACCGGATATATTTTCTGCCTAACTTTGTATTATATCAGATGTGATATGAGAAACACAGCCAAGTTTGTAGCAAGAGAGAGTTTTAGATTCACGTTTACTGCAAGCGCCTCAAATTGTCTTTTATGCTTTGTGTCAAAATTTCAAATAAACTTAAAAACGCTTCGAAAGGAATAGTGATGCGCTTATGCATGAAAAAGTGATCTATTCTATACACAATCGCGAAAGAACGGAGCGTTAATACAGAAAAACAGTGATCACGTGATCAGTTTTGACGTTTGGCGTTCGCCGTAAACCAGTATCTAAAACTCTCTAACACTATCATAAGGCACGTAATAAACTGACTTTAAAATATTACGAGGATAGTTTTGTTTGCCTTACGTAACAGCTCTACTGTAATGTTAGTTGCGTACACGTATTATTTACATGGCCACTGTGGTGTCAAACTAGGATTTCCACCATTCTTCTTAAAACGTACACACTCGTTTTGCTCGCACTTTAGTCGTTCCTCAGAACAAGTACAGTCGGCATCAGACTCACAGCGCGTCTTGAATATTTTAGGACACTGCAAGATAAGTTTATATAGAGGATTTTACATGGGCGCGCAGAGATACGGATTTTATCTTCGAGTATTGAAAAATCTCTCACGAGTGTGCGTAGCGAAGATTTTCAACACGAGAAGGTAAAATTCGTATCACCAAGCGACCATGTAATATTCTGTTTATCATATAATTACATATGAAAGCAAATTATGTCGCAAAATACCTTTTTTTTTTCTTGCTTTTACTATATAGAGAAACCTCGAATGTGTTATTTTCACTAGTGAAAATATTTCTCCATTTCGTAAAATTGATATTTTCACTAGTGAAAATAATATGTTATTTTTAGTGAAAATATCAATTTTACGAAATGGAGAAATATAGCTATTTCATAGATAATTATATGATAATAAGTGTTAAGTCATTGGAGGCGATATTCACCAATCGGAGGACTTAGTGTCCTTTATGGTACTTACTGGAAGAAGAATGGAGATGAGGGCCAGACTAGCGTTTTCGCACCTTTTCTCGTGATTACACAAGATGTACGTATTCGGGCAGTAACAATCAGCATGTGATTTGCACAAAGACCCAACAACTTTAGCAGTGCACTGTAAAAATCAGTGAGATCTTTTAAGTACTTTTTAATAAACAAGTAGGAGTGTTTTATCGGGTAGAGTCATAACACTTGCACCGTGAAATATGATCAAAATAAACAGTAAATATTAGTGTCTATTTATTGACTAATAGTAGATATTACTGAACCAGAACACAGTTAATGAAAACAAAAGGCAATACACAGGAGACTTGACAACTGCCATCTTTATTTCATGTACATTCAAGACAAAAGACACATCTAGATCTAAAATAACCACACAATACACTAGGGAGCGCGTTTAACGAATCTTTATTTATTTGCGCTGCTGCCGTAAAATCAAGACAAAAGACACATCTAAAGCTAAAATAACCACACAATACGCAAGGAAACGCGTTTAACGAATCTTTATTTATTTGCGCTGCTGTAGAATCAAGACACAAGACAAATCTAAAGCTAAAATAACCACACAAGACTAAATGAAACGCGTTTGGAATCTTTATTCTCTGCGCCGCAGCAAAATTAAGATAGAAGACATTGTAAGGCTAAATTGAAAATACTGTAACAATATCAAACCCAGTACGCAAATGAACGTGTTTTCTAACGAGTTTATTATAAGAGCCTAAACTAAATATAAAGACAAGACGCACTGAAATGACCCGCAAAAATCTATAAACAACGTGGTTTCAAACGAATTCTATCGCTCAAAGCTGAGTTATTTGACTAGTCAATATAAAAAAGCGACTTGACAACAACCAGCAGCGACGTTTTATATTTATCCTTTGCTTGAAGCTCAAAATAAAACACAATAAATTTTATTAATCATTTCGGAAATGTTTGTGAGATACGTACCTTTTGAGCATGGGACATTAGTTACCAAATCATTATTTCAAGCAGCACTCGTAACAGTTATAAAGTTAGTTACTATAGCTATCTATTTCACTTTCACCCTATAATCAACTCTTTTTGTCCTTTCAATAAACTCGATTTCCATGAAGCCTACATTTAACACAAGCTCTAGCCCTTCCCGACATCTTTCCTCTGGGTTTAACAAAGAACTAAACCAGCAGCTCTTTATTTCTTTCCTTAATTGTGGGTGGGACATTTTTTAACAAATTCCTCCTTCTTCATTAGGTAGCTTTTAATAACATTGTTTGGCTTCCAAGTCTCTTGTGTATTACCTTTTGTTTTTAAGAATTGTTTTGGTTCAGTGATATCTACTATTTCATACAATGAGTCAGTAAATAAAAACTAATAGTTACTACTTCTTTGATTATGTTTCACGGTGCAAGTGTGATGACTCTATAAAGATTCGAGCCGAAAAGGGTGAAGAACTAATTACTTGTGTCTCTCTGTTGTAACAATAAAAACCTAGAGTCATCACACTTGCACCGTGAAACATAATCAAAGAAGTAGTAACTATTAGTTTTTATTTACTGACTCATTGTATGAAATAGTAGATATCACTGAACCAAAACAATTCTTAAAAACAAAAGGTAATACACAAGAGACTTGGAAGCCAAACAANATTTATTGTGTTTTATTTTGAGCTTCAAGCAAAGGATAAATATAAAACGTCGCCGCTGGTTGTTGTCAAGTCGCTTTTTTATATTGACTAGTCAAATAACTCAGCTTTGAGCGATAGAATTCGTTCGAAACCACGTTGTTTATAGATTTTTGCGGGTCATTTCAGTGCGTCTTGTCTTGATATTTAGTTTAGGCTCTTATAATAAACTCGTTAGAAAACACGTTCATTTGCGTACTGGGTTTGATATTGTTACAGTATTTTCAATTTAGCCTTACAATGTCTTCTATCTTAATTTTGCTGCGGCGCAGAGAATAAAGATTCCAAACGCGTTTCATTTAGTCTTGTGTGGTTATTTTAGCTTTAGATTTGTCTTGTGTCTTGATTCTACAGCAGCGCAAATAAATAAAGATTCGTTAAACGCGTTTCCTTGCGTATTGTGTGGTTATTTTAGCTTTAGATGTGTCTTTTGTCTTGATTTTACGGCAGCAGCGCAAATAAATAAAGATTCGTTAAACGCGCTCCCTAGTGTATTGTGTGGTTATTTTAGATCTAGATGTGTCTTTTGTCTTGAATGTACATGAAATAAAGATGGCAGTTGTCAAGTCTCCTGTGTATTGCCTTTTGTTTTCATTAACTGTGTTCTGGTTCAGTAATATCTACTATTAGTCAATAAATAGACACTAATATTTACTGTTTATTTTGATCATATTTCACGGTGCAAGTGTTATGACTCTAGCGCTCCTTTATTTAGAAGACTGTATCGTACCACGAAAAGCAAAGGCTAGGCTGGCTAACATCAGCTCTTATCAAACCGAGGAGATACATAGTTTTTGCTAAAACTGCTTCAAGCAATATCATTATATAATTTCTTTTCCTTTCAAAACTGCACCAATTCAAACACAAGACGATGCTAGATAGGTATGCCGGTCTTTTCCAGTAATTGACGTCATGTTTGCTTTGGTCAAGTGCTTATCATGGTATTGATAAAAGTGTTAAAATGGCAGATAAATCACATAGTGCATCTCACCAAATAGTGCATGACGTCATTGGATAGAAGGACAATTTATTCAGTCAAAGAAATCCAAACTAACTATTGAGACAATGGGATAGAGTACAAACACTAAGTGCAACATAAATACCACTAAATACTGCTAAATTATGCTAATTCTATTGTTTTCTATTGTTTAATTAACACTATTTTGTAGGAAATAGTGGAAAGTGTTGCACACATTTAATGTTTGTACTCTATAGCTGACTTTAAATAAACAAACAAACCAACCAAGTTTTTTAAGAGGGTGACACACAACAGTTTTTGACTGATAAACCAGTGGTTCTCTATACACTCATAACCCCATACATTGATTATATTAGCACAAAACACTCTTTACTACAGCTGGTATTTGACTAAAGAAAACAAGCATAAATACCCTCAGAATTAAGAAAATCAGCGTACAAACTCATTTTTCCCAGATCTGTGAAAGGACCAGCGTTTAAAGACCTTGACCCCAATTTTAGATTATTTTAACCATAGTTCATTTCGCTCTGCTCGCTCTAACATAAGACACAAGTATTTAGAATGCAAAAGATCATCCTTGTGTCTGTAAGTAGACTTAGTGACTTAGGACGCTTAGCCTTCTCAGCGGATTATACGATTAAAGCCTTGAATATTCATGGAATTTTTAACCACACAATTAAATTGTGGCCAGACAACTTCAATAGGACGCAACATGATAGATATCACAGGATGTGGAACCATTTAAAAGATGATATCAAACGATATGACATCAAGGCCACACAGCGCTAACACGCACCGTAGAAATTCTTAGGTAAACCTAAAAAAAACGTTTGTATAGCATCCAGTTTTCCCAAAATACGATGACTCGTACATTGTATGCATGTCAATTAGCTAACAGAGATCCATGGATTTTCATTTGTAGCTTTCTTTCTTTCGATTCAGTAGTCCCGTTGACCCTGTAAGACCATCTGCAGTCCATACATCAAAAGCGTTTGAACCATTGCATTTACTTAAAACAAGTGAATTTCTTGGGTTGAATTTCGCAAAGAAGTTGAATTGCGTAGTTTGAGCATAGAGAAAGCCTATCCTGGTTTTCATGTTAATCAAAATTAGTCCGGTGACCAATGCACTGTAAGATTGACCATCTGCAGTCCATACATCAAAAGCGTTTGAACCATTGCATTGACTAAGACAACTGAATTTCTTGGGTTGAATTTCCCAAAGAAGTTGAATTGAGTATTTTGAGAATAGCGAAGCCTATCCTGGTTTTCATGTAATCAAAATAGTCGTGGCGTGTGGGATTTTTATGCCAACTCGACTTACAGGAAACTCCTTAATGTCAAGGCTCCCCTCGCCTCGCCTCTCCCCTTCCCCAAAATGTTTGAGCTGTTTGGCTATAGCGTGGGAAATCATGGTAAATCTGAGTACCTGGCTTTCATCTTTGATAACTGCTGCATTATCTACTAGAACCATGAGCAATCCAATGAGGACTTGACTGAACATGTTCATCTAAAACGAAAACATCTGCGTTTAGCATTCGGGCAGAGATTTCATAAATAGAAGAAATCAAAATTACACTTTTTTGCAAAAAAATAAAACTAAATACATTTTGCTAAATCTTTATCTCTTAATGTTTAAACTTTTTTATTTATTTATCTATTTTTTTTCATCCTTCTTCTCCTGAAGCAACCGACAGATTTGAAATTTCTTTGCAGTGAACAAAAAAAGAATAACAGGCTAACTTCACTTGTTTGTTAATTCCCTTCAGTGAAGGAAATATATAGCTAATGTAGTAATCGGGCATTGATAAACACTGAACTTGGGAAATATATAGCTAATGTGGTAATGACATTGATAAACACTGAACTTGGAGCTGTGATTTTCAACGTGAAACCGAATTGCGCAATTACGCAAATCTATTTCGGAAAAACTATCCAAAAATAAAGAAAATTCTCGGATAAACAACGAATTTATAGATATGAAGACCTGTGTTTACACTGGSTAATTTTGCATCTAATTTTGCGGTTATTTTGATCCTGTTCAATAATTTTAAAAAATTACTTGTTAAGTTTTATTTAGTGCACTGAGATGAGCTTGCTAAACGTCTCTTCTCTCTGCTGTCTTCACAAACATATATTATATTTTTGGAAATTGCTTCAAAAATCACCACGTAAACAAGTTTTTATAAAAAATAGTTAAGTTAGATAAATTAAAATGTAACTATCCACTTGGTATTAAAAAAATGCAATTATCTAACTATATTTCTCTCTATATTTCTTTTTTTTTTATTCATATACATTTCTATGATTTCACAAAGTGTTTTTGTCTTTTGAAACTTGTATGGTATCACTGACTGTTTATATTTCTTGCTGTTCCTTGCTACGACAGCTTTTTTCTAGGTACACTGAGTCTAATCGCTCAGTCTAAACAAAGATGTGGAGATGCTGCATTGACTGCTGTACGCTAAAGAACTAAACGAAGTTTTAAGTGGACAACCGCTTACCTTAGGTTTTGATCCGTGAAGTTTCAAAGGCCCTTTCAAGTATACTATAGAAAAACGTTATTGTGAGATCGTTCTTTGTAACACACTTGTATGACTTGAATGTCAGACTAGAAACACATGAAGTACCTAGAAGTTAATAAGACTCTAGAAAACTCCAGAGTTTATCGATATAAACATGTTATCAGTTGCCATGAACATTCAATCCCGCCCTGGTGGGATCTGGATCATTAGTGATTTCACGATAACCAAACATATTTTTGTACAATTTTGCATTGATGAGAATAAATGAATGAAACAGAATAATAGAAAATTCACAATAAGTTGATTTTGTTTTAATAGCTCCAGAGATTATGTGTAATTCCAAGTATGAACTCCACGTTCTGCATTCCACAACTTCTTACTTTCAGACCGACGGTTTTGGCCACCCATATAGAATGCTACCGAGACACTTCATCATAGATATTACCAACTGATTGTACAATTATACTGCACTCGATTTGTTTAGACAAGCTTTAAGAGACGCACGAAACCTCATTAGGCTCACAAACACGTCAATGAGGAGTGTTCTACTGTAGATCTTTGAGATTTATTCGAGGATCGCGCGCCGAGTTTGATTCTTTGTTTTTCAGTTTTAGTCTCACCATTTCGCGCAGAATATTTCACAATTTGAGTAAATAGAAAATTCCTCTTTATTAGAGTGTTCTTTCCATAGGATTCTATAGGAAAATTCATTGGATGACGAGGGAATTCCGCAATGAATTTCACGAGAAAACGATATCGCATGAGTCGCGAAGGAATCTTCCTCGTAGTTCTTTACGGATCTTGAAAGGTAACAATGCCTTAGCTTCGGCAGGTGACGACCGGCGAGCCTGCATTGATAGAAACCCGATTCCTGTGCAAGCAAGCTTCTAATAATGAATGCGCTTGCTGGGTCATATCTCTTGCCTTAATAGGCACGGTTAACTCTCAAGAAAAGGGAATTAGAAGAAGACTCTTTGAGATCAGATCAAACCAACACGCAGGAAAGTAAACAGCGTAAAATGTTCTTTTCTCGGATCTTTCGATTGCTCTCGTGAATGAACGAGCTCTCTACAGGAAGCTATTTATTACAATACACAACTAACATTGTACGGGGATCACAACATAGACAAAGAAATTAAGAAGTTAAGTAAACTGCCCTTGATGTGCTACGTTGGCAGTACAAACAAGAACCCTTGAGTGAAGGCAAGAAACCCGTGAAATAGATATTACACTAATACACCTTTGTACGCTCTAATTGCATGCGTTCTTTTGTGTCTATATGGCTATCACACTTTGAATAGTAAAGTTTTGTTTCACGGGTCTAATGACTTCACTCTAAGTTGGATTACTTTGACGTACAGTACAAGTATGTTGCAATAACACAACGATACGTGAAAACATCCTCACCCCATATTAGCTTAAAAGATTACACTTACGATAAAAATAATATATAAAAAATACTGTTAAAAAGAAAATGGCATTCTGTTCAAAGTTATCTAGTGTTTTGGGAATTATTTTTTCGTTTTTCAAGAACACTGAGTTATATGGCCTGTGTGTGTGTGTAAAAATATAAATATGTAAGCTTTATAATTGTAACATTTCCGAGAGCTCAAATTGCAGTTTTCTATAACTATTAACTAAATTAAAAGAAGCAATCAGATCGGACTTTCCTAAAAACTCTACTTTTGCAATTAAGCGAGTTTATTAAACCCGTGAAACAGAATTCGACTATTAAAATGTGATGGTTTAAATTGACTCAAAAGAACGCAATGCAATTTAATCGTACTAAGGTGTATTAGTGTAATACTTATTTCACGGATTTTTTATTTAACTCTATATAACATACGATTTTCCTCCCAGCTAAGAGATGATATACGCCTAGCGTCAACGATAACATCGTCRGTTTTTACTGAACAGAGAGTTGACAGAGAATATCAGCATATATACAACATACAAACACTATCGATTAAGAACGACTACAAACAGTTACCTATCAATAATCCAGTTTCGAATTCTCCAATGCTCTGTGTTAGCCTCAWTTYTGCGCAAAATATTCCTAATTGTGCTGAATAAAAGTGTGAGATTTCAAATCAATTCTATTGTCTTTCTTTTCGAATTCCATGCGTTTTCTCGAGCTATCAATGAAGCAAATGAATATGTTACTTGGTTTTGAGGCTAACACAGAGCAAACCAGTACTCGAAATTGGAGTATTGAACGCTGCGGTTTGGAAACGTTTAAACTGAAAATCGTGCATATCATTTTACTTTGATGGTTATGCATGGATTAAGAGGACATTAATTTTAGACTTACATCAGAGATGGACAGAATACAAGGAAGTCAAGTCTTCTTCACGTAGTACAAACTCTGGCCGGTGTCCAAATATTGACGGGAAATTCATGCGTAATGGTTGGAATATGTCTAGACCAGTTCTGCCAGTCATCCAAGTGCTGACACACATAAATACCTCTCTGCTCTCWTCCGAGCTGTGAGTATACGAATAGTAAATTACGCATGATATTASTCAAACGAAAGATTTGGCGTTGATTTTGAACAGGAGAGTGGAAACAGTTCACACACACACACAAAAAAAACGTTTATAAAAAAAAGTTTGTAATTGAATGTTGCTAAATTGRACTGAATTATGTGAATTCTTTTTATCGAATCTACACTACATTGAGATATTTGGCACTATTTGGTTGGCATAACTCTTTCACGCTTTATATTTTGGCTCTCTAGTACGTTAAACACGTCGCACAATTTGGTGAATGGTATTCATAACAACGGTCTATTATTGGATTTTTGCAATTTCGTAAAAAACAAGAAAAAAACAACAACACCCTAGTGTTTTAACTCTACCGGAAATGTAAAGTTAGTTCAGCAGAACGTGAATCTGAGTGGACGTMAATGGTAACCACGCATCTTCGCAAAATGAGGGAGGTTGGGGACAGTCGGCTTACACAATGTGTTCTTTTAAGTCTTTATTGTAGCGTACGCATCTTCCTTCTTAAAATATATAGTACACTGCATTCTTATGTAGTRCTAAAAGACTATATCATTTATCTATGTAGATCAAAACTGATGAAATATTGTAGCATTCAAAACGTACATCATAACAAACCAGTCAGTAGACTATCACTAGATAATCTACTATCGAAACATACCTTTTGCATTTTACAAAATGTCCTCAATTTTAAGTGCGTATAATTATTAAATAATGTTCATTTAATTTAAATAAAAGATTGATTGATTTGAAGCTGGATTTGTGTGTTAGAAACTCGGCAAATGAATACCGAGGGCAAAGTCATTGAGTGTATATAGTTGTGAGGTGTTTTATCAGGAGGACAGGTTCCTAGAGTCCAGGTTTAGTGTCCTTTAGTCCAGACCGAGCTTTCATCCACGGTTTTTCTTTAACGCATTCCTGATCTTCACAAACAAGCTTATGTTCTTGACATGGGCAGTCATCATTGCTGATACATCTACTTTTAAATACTGGAAAGCACTGCAAAACAAACAGATTTTAATCAATTTTCCATTTTACAGTTCGCCTTGGTTCGCCATCTTAAAAGATAGACGAGGCTTTGAATCAAAACTGGTCTTAGTCTTTTTATATCTTTCCAATTTCGATTTTAATTTTTTTTTTAACTCTAACGCACAAGACAAGACAAGACAAGACAAAATAAAACAAAACAAAATAACAAAACAAAAAATGCACAGTTACTGTGAGAGACAACTGTGAGTACATAAGGAATAAATAAACAAATAAATAGTACATAAATAGTATCGAATCCATCTTTCGAACTTACTGGTTGCCTTCTCATAATCTTGTCTATAAAGSTCTCTTGTTTACATTTCTTGCTGTAGTTACATATCAACCGCATACTTCCATTACACAGACATTCGAAGTCTTGAGAACACAATTTTCCGTACACAGACTTACACTATAACATAAAAACAAATGACTTCAACTCATATCCATAGCTATATTGTATGYTTCAGTAAATTTTAGCTTTTTTGTTATTCACCTTTTCGGGTTTTTTTATTCACATTTTTTTTAATGGATAATAAAAGCTTTTACTATCCATGCCTGTATGTATGGCGCTCCGCTAACAAGACCAAAAGGAAAGAGAAAAGGACTGAGAAGTGGATGGAGTTTCTAAAATTTAACTTAATTAACTTAGGAAACATCCTAACACAGGAAAGATCAGATCGCATCYGAGTGAATTTTTCACATAAACGCCAGCTGTACTACGAAGCGTTAAAAAATCTTAAAACTAAAAATGATGGTTATATGCAGAATCTTAAATCGTTTAAGTTCAACTATTATGCATGTAAATCTTTCTGTGATTTTTTTTGTGGTTGGTTTGATTTCTTTGTTTATATCAAGTTAGAAACTCGTACCCAGTCCTCTAAAATCTAATAAATCCCGCAGCTTCTTTCGATAGAAACAATATTTTTCTAACAGGGGATGGAAACACAGCAAATCATTATCTTTTAATGCTTCTAAAGCGGTCATATGGGAACACTCTCCAGCAATCCTGGGAATCGGAATGTATCCCTGCAGTGCATCAAATAATTATAGTCTTTCTAAAGGCCCGTTTACACTTGCGATTTTTGCAGAGCGATTCTCGCGGCGATCGCCGCAACAATCGCAGGGCTGTTTACACGTACGATTTTAGTTGCGCGATAGCAAAGTGGAGATTAACGCGCTGCAAAAGTCGCAAGTGTAAACGGGCCTTAAGAATGTTTGAGCGTTCGTGGCGATTCCAGCGATCGTACCAATCAAATCGAAACAGGACGCGATCGCCAGGATTYCTGAAAAATATTTAGCGATTATATGAAAACAAGGCTATAAAGTCGACAATCAATTTAATCGAATAGRCTGCGTGCAGTCGTGTTGTTAAATATAAACAACAGTTTTGGTTCGGCTGCCGGCACAGCCTAAGATTATATGAAGTGGTCTGCCAAAGGCTAAGATTATATGAAACGGTCTGGCCCGGTTCAACGCGGACTGGTTTCTCTTGTTCTCTTTTCACGGGGGCACAGAACAAAAGGAATAATCCCGGTCAACCGGACCAGCTCGCTTTATATGTAATCAAACCCTGTAATTTGCACAACTTAACAAGTATTTTAGTATATAACTTGACCAAATTTGCCTTAATGATGGCCCCGCGAATCGTCGCGAAGTATAATCGCTTTGGTATTGGATTTTGAACGATTTTAGAATTATTACGACTGAATGCATAATGTACTTACACTATGGAACTGCTGTGATAATACAATATGTACTAGAGTTAATACCACTAGAGTCGTTGATAATGCCTTCGACATGTTAGATTAATAGATTTTCCCCTGTAAAATGAGAAATATAACGTTGTTACTGATATTCTAGACACTAATGGAGCTGGCACCAGCTGAGCGGACGCGTCACCAAAAACCACGATTTCCCGCCATTAGATCCTTTTTTCCCGCCTTTTGTTTATTCATCGGGTACAATTGTGACAAAGAATAACTCATCAACATTCTCGAATGACAATGAACGGAAATCAGTAGGATAATACAAAATTTGCACAAATTGTTCATTTGAGATTTGATTATCAAATAACGGAAACAAAAGTCAGCATAACTACTTTAGACGCGGCGAAATGTTTTCGGGGGATTTAGTTTTTCCTGTTTAAAGACGACATTCAAAAACAAATGCTAAATGAGAACTATGAATAAACCTTACTGAAGCGAAAATGTTTACGTTAGAGCGAGAACAGCATCAATATACATTCAGAAGCTAAAAAAGGTTTACAAAAACGAAAAGACTTTTCTCCCGCAAGCTCAATATCAGCCTTTTATCAAGAGATTATTTGGATAGTCATAATTGTGTCTAAATAAATAGAAATCAATCTTCGTTTCCTTTGTCTCTACTTCTGGTGAAGAACTTAAGTAAACGAATATTTATTTAATTAACTCTCGTATGGCAAAGTATGCCCTAATTTGACGCCAAAAAAGCTTTTTCGTTACCCATTCTTATTAAATACCATTAATATAATTACATATCGTATYATGAGCATTTGGGTAATGGATGGCAAAATACATTTGCTCTCGATCTTCCGTTTACACCACCTATAAGGAAAACTTAAACCGCCTCCTCTTTATTTAATAGTTTGGACATAGAAAATGCTAGTTTTTGGTAATAAAACACTTAGAAAATGATGTTTGCTTGATTTTCCGTGATTTCGTCCTACGCCTAAATCTATAACCAACTTAACGGCTCCAAGGGTTCCTTTTTAATATAATACAAAAGTCTTTCACTTTGTCAGTCAAGTCCSCTGTGTTATTACATAAAGTAATTTGCTCGAGGGAAATATTATTATTTTCATTAAAATCCTTTTATRCKTGTCTAACCACCTTMAGTTCTTTGAAAAGTCTGGACTTCAATTTCCGAGTCTACGATGCAGCTCGCGCCATCGGATAACCATATATGGGAGACGGCATAAAATCAAAGTTTATAACGAAAAGAAAAATCCATGAGATAAATGCGTTAATCAGCAAAAGTTCGATTTTGTTGTTAACATTTGAGCTATCAGTCGTTTTTAATCTTACTCAGTCAAAACAATCATTGAATAATGAAAATTTAAACTTTCTGCTACCAACTTGRTTGATACGAATAAAAGAAAATAAAGGAAAACTAAAAGGCAGTGGTTTCACAGAAACTACAAGTGCTTTTAAACATTTGATTTCATTTTATTCAGTTTTATCGATAAATTTTCAAATATTTTTTTTATAAACGATAGAATGGCGAAGAGGAAGATTATGTTCAACTTCAAGCGCAAACATCTTGACTCAGGAAGGAAAAAGAAGTGCACGAGGGCCAACAACATCTAAAGCAAATGAACTACTCACAAACTTCAAACTGATTTTCCTTTTTACGCCCAAATGCAAGGCATAAAGATAATTGTAATTTTTTACTCACCAAGACAATGATATTCGTTCCTTAGTRTTTCGTCTGTAATGGCCTTTCTACAAATGACAGAGTGGGCAATTAGTTGCTTGTTTAGATGATATAAAGGAYCAYGTATGATCAGAATGCTCCGCCGTGAACGGAAGTCCGATGAACTACTTGATATTTATCCCCCACATCGTAYAAAAGTGTTGATTGAAGAAGGRCCAGTGCCACTAGCTATATGGAAAACTCAAWCAGKATTTCAAAAGTATAYAACWGAGACGGCAGGSTAGATTATTTCTACAGTTTTCATGCGAAATGCCAAGAGAATGACAAATATGAGAGATATATGATTGAAAAATACCGACTCAACAGGGACTTTTTTGCGGTCAAACATCATCAAAAGAAACATGCGTTTGGTTTTTGCTTGAACAAACTCTTGTCAAATAATAAACAATAGAAAAAGAAAGTTCACAGTTCTGTATTATTGTGGGAGGAAATRGCTCTTCAATTAATGCAGTTTGGTATTAGGATAATTATTCAAATGAGGTCTTATTCTCTCTCGATCTTTGAAAARCCGTTAAGACAAACAACAATATAAACTACTTCACTTGCTTTTAGAACAAAAA